GGTCTTACCTTCGCCCTGGTCGCCCTGTTCTTTTACTATACATCAAGTTAGTGGCAATGACTCGTCTGGTTTTATTAGAACAGCTCTTATGGTGGTTGTATGCTCCAAGAACTGCGCCAGTCTATCACATTCCTACGGTAACACCACTATAAACCTGACGGGAGGTGAAGCCGTACACTCAAAGCGGAAACTTGCGGAATTGGTGGTGTCATTACATTTCTCTACACAGCTTACATTTAAGCGAGCATACTTTGAATATAATTTTCTAACACAGTCAGCACATTCTTTTGCAATTCATATACCTTGTAACAGTTTGCCGCATCACAATCACTGATGAATTGCGAGGTTTTAGACTTAGCTTTCCGTGGGTGAGAAGTGTAGGAAATTGTGATCTTCAATCCTGGTAATATCGTGTGTTGCTATGTCTATCCGAGCAGGTTGATCTCAACTGTCATCAGTTAATTACTTATTGGAGAAAAACGGACAAAACTGACCAGACTTGAACCTATTGTTGTGTAATGAAACCCGATAGATGGGCACGGAAGGCTTAAATGTTTTGCTATAGCAAGCGTTAATTTATTGTAACACATTGTCACTGACAAAGTTTACATGATGGATTGTAATCAAATCCAAGTAAGCTTATAAAACTAGTGAAAATCTTGCGCGCTTGGCGACTAGTCAGCTTTGGATTAATCGCTCTACCTAGACTTCCGCATTTTCCTACAACCGCATACAAGAAGGGGAATTAGATAAAGCAAATTTACTCCACACTAAACTTGCGTGGCATATAAGACTTGTGTCCATGTGGATATAATTCGAGAAACGATATTTCTTGGTAAAATACAGATGGAAACAATGCACCATTTCATACGTTTTCGAGGAAAGTCATGCGTTGCATGCATAGTGCATATGTACAGGACTTGTTGCTTGTATAATGATAGACCACTTAATCATTTGGTTGTGATAAAGGAATTTGTTCTGATTACCAAGAGAAGAAAAGGTATTATACTGTTACAGATACCTTTTCTAGTAAAGCTTTAGCAAATATCAGTTTTCCTCTATGTTGTATACTTTTCTAAACTAATCAGACGTATGGGTAAGTTTACGCTTTCATTTTTGCATTTGATGGCTGACAACATTCCACGGGGAAATAGGATTACTTTACTATAGCACAGCATAAGGAAAGGTTTAATTCCCAGTTAGAAAACTATAACGATGTAACTTTTTCTGATCTTGTGAAGGAATGTTGTAAGGTTACATCAGAGTTTTACCACAATTGACAAGCTGAGTTGTGGAGACGAAGAAGTAGTGGACGGTTATATAATGATGAGCAGTGGAGTACTGCGGCTGCACTATAAATTTAGGCGGTTGTTTGCCATCCGTTAAGAAATATTTGGCAAACGCGGCACATATGATTATCCTGTGTCCTTATCGCATATTTCTCACCGCATGAACAAGTTCACCTTCAAGAAGAATCAAATAATCCTTAAGAAACAACTAGTCTACAGGTAACATTAAACAATTCGCCGCAAAAAAATGTTTGTCGTGCCCAGCACTGACCAATCGATAAGCGTCCTATTTACTATACACTGCTTTTCAACCATAATCACTACCAGCCGGCCAATTAAGAATACTCCAATAAAGCGTGGGTGATTTTAAACTGACTGGCATATACACTCTTATTAAACTACATGGCTTCCCGTATGTATATTTAGATTTTGACGCTGAGTGATTTATTCCACAAGATCCGGAGTATACGGTACTGAATACAAGATGATTTGTGTCACCCAGTCCCGTCGTTAATGTGAATTGCGCTATGTGCACGCATTCTGTATGGTAAACTCTGGCGTGTTATCAAACGATAAACGCATGGTCCAATCCTTGGATAGGAATGCATGCTAGTAATGAGGACAACTTCCTTTATTTAATGTATGCCAAACGAAAACAGACATCGTCGGTTAACTACACGTAACATAAACTCCAGATGTTGTACGTGCACTGTATGCATGTTAAGATTTGAGCGGTGGTACGGTAGTGCTTCCTGTTTAATAGGTAAACAGGACGTGGTCAATTGTTTAATTGTCCGCATCCCAGTGAATACGTATGTAAACCAGTTCTGAAAATGTTTCATTTATTGAGATCATATGACTTGGGCTAGACGGTCACGCTGGATTCACAAAGCAGTTTACATCCTGCATTCTCTCACTGTTAAGACACTTATCCCACCTACTGCTCGGCATAGTTGGAGATTTGGATCGATCGGTGTCAAGGTAGCTCATGGAGAACCAATGTTACTACCGGGCATCTATTTAACATTTGTTATTTAGGAACAATAAGTCCTTCTATCTATACACAAATGCGTATCACAAATTTACACTTGCACAATTTGCCATTTCATTTTGCTAGCCCCTCATCTAAATTTATTGGCGCACACATGCCGTTCGAGCAGTAGTGTTTGAACTGCTTGTTTGGTTGGAATACATTTGCACTTTGTTCACAGCGCTCTAACCTAAACTTGCAATGTTTGTCCCATTGATGCAAAGCTTGTGAGCTGGCACTACATCTGGGCGGATCTTTCTCTCGAAAATGTCGTGGCCACCTCGTAGACAAGAATCCCCATATCACTAAACCATAACGGGTGCAGACGCAGGCTATTAAAACGTGTGTTGCAATCAGAACTAACGGCACAAAACCTTCTAGAGAACTGGACTAAATTCCGTTGCAGATTGTCAAAAGAGTCGTTTGAAAGCAGTGGGAACACCAGCACTTTATAATGACAATTCACTGGAGGCACAAATCTTAATGACAATATCATTTGCAGCACCCGACTCTGGGACTGTTTCAACAGTAGCCATAATACCCGATGAGCCACTGCAGAGCACGAGCAAACACCGGGATCCGGCGCATCTGATACTTGCCTATATGCCAAATTCGTCTCGTGAGTCTGCAACACATGCAAAAGTGAGCAATCGCCGACCCTGTATTGTTCAACGTAATCTCACTCGCCTCATCCATCCAATCGAACGCACAGTTGGTCTCTGAAAAGCTCTCATGCAAGTACACAAATTCCGAAGTTCTACTTAGCAAAGTACCTGAATAACGACTTCGACACGCGTCTACAGCTTGGGACCTCATCGCGGTCACCGAAATGTGGTTGAGCTGTGAGATAACGGATGCTGAAATCACGCTAGCAGGTATGTCCGTTGTCCGTAAGGATCGAACCAGCAAAAGGTTGTTGGGCAGCCCTCTAGTTTCGTAACAAACTGCAGTGCGAACCCATAAACGGTTCGAAAAGACCGATGTATCGGACTCCATTTGGTGTAATTTCCGGCTGAGAGGGAACGACTTTGGCCTATTGCTTGTTGTTTACCACCCACCATTGTCTACTCCTGAGACGGACTGCAATTTGGTGGCTGCGTTGAGGCATGTGATAAGCAGCAACAACTAAAATAAATCGAATAATGCGCACAGATACGCTGAGGTAGTTATTTGCTAATTGTGCATATGAAATAAATTGGTTACCTACAGATCCGCGATTGCTTCAACATGTAAGAAAAGGTATTTTAAGAAAATGCCGCAGACGCGAAAATGCTGGGGAAGTCAATTACAAATATCCTAAGCGACTTGTGCAATTCAGTAGAAGATTATCCAGGCGTTACAATGAGATAAATAAAGCATTAGGAAAATTTAAAAAGTCTGGCATGAGAAATAGAAACTTGGCATCCAAGCATGTGGTTAGTAAATCGAATGCAGCGTACCTACAAATGCTGCTCCCGTTTTGCCCAAGTTCTCATCATGAATCGTTGTCGTTTCTGTGGTGGCCCCGAGTGGCCTTGCTCATGGCTCACTAGGCGTGCCTAACTTAGGCAGCCTCGACCGCAAGGGTTACAGCACCCTGCGCTCAATGTCGATGGAGTAAAACACATCGGTGCCTGCCGCTTCTGCATTTGCCGCTTCTTCTCCGCATGTATGTAGGCGTTCTGCTGCACCTCGGTAACTGCCTTCGTGAGCAGATTGCGCGATTCAGGCTGATCAGTCACCTTCGATTCCCATGACCCGCCATCAACATTAGAACATACTAGGCTAATTTTGAGAATGCCCCGGAAAGGACACTTCGGTTATCCCGCATGCAGCTTCTCCATACCCAGCTGACCATCTAATAGTTGCTGCGGTATCTGCGTCGAATCGATGGGTTACACATGACAACACCAATTCGGGTGCCTCAGCATAAATGAGCGGGCTCCTTGAAATAAATGCATATAAATATTTTTATATATAAATATATGGTTGGCGGCATCCGGTTTCGGATTTGCCTGTCAATGTGGCAAGCCACAGGACGCCTGCGCCTACAGAGGGACCGTGGATGGCTTGCGCTGCACCACCCACAGCTCCATCCACACCCCCCATATCCAGTGTAAACCCGAAGGAATAAGACCGGGAGGCATGCGGATGGGAGCCACGTTTCATCAACGGAGCCGGCCCACACTCCTTCACAGACAAACACAAGCACGCTGTATTTGGGGAATCAAGCGCACACAAGGCGGTGGCTGGACCGTAGTCCGCTCCACACTGAGTGGCATGGAACCACTCTTCGAGCCTTGCACGACCACGAGGACCGTGCACCCCGTTTCCTCCAGCAACGACCAACTGTCTCCTGGAGCCAGTATGGACGACATAGTGGGTAATAGACAGGTAGGCACCTTGTCAACATGCATATCAAGCGCAGCCACACCGGGGATATCAAACAACAGCCAATCACTTGAGAGAGAGAGAGAGAAAAAGTGAAAAACTCGATTAATGCATAAGGAAACGGTGACATAAACCTTAATTAAATAGCATACGTAATAAGTTGTTTACAAACAAATCCCAGCTAAGTGCATGAGGTCAGGAAGTATAGTTCACGGTATGCCACGAACACAAAAATGTTATGGAAATCGAATACATTTGGCTGAAGCGATGTGTGCAAGTTAATGGAATAGAGTACAGGGAGATATTTATATGAGAAAGAAAAGCATTAATGCACAAACTGTAAACCCACCACCTGAAATAAAGAGACTTAGCATGCAACCGTGCGGTTAGTAAATCGAATTCAGCGTGCCTACAAACGCTGCGCCGGTGCTGCCTATGTTCACTGCGGGACCCGTCGTCGCTTCGGCAGTGGTCCCGAGTGACCTCTCTCATGGCTCACTAGGCCTGCCTGACTAAGGCACTCGCGACCGCATGTTTTACAGCACCATGCGCTCGATGTCGATGGAGTACAATCCATCGGTGCTTGCCGCTTCCGCAACTGCCGCTTCTTCTCTGCATGCATGAGGGATTTCTCCCGCACTTCAGCAACTGCCTTCGTGATTAGATCGCGCCATGCACGCCGATCAACCGCCTTCGATTCCCATGATCTGCAATCAAGATTAGAACGTGTGAGGCTCACTTTAATCATGTCCTGGTAACGTAACTTTGGTTTCCCCACGTGCCGCTTCCCAATACTCAGCTGACCGTATAAGAGTTGTTTCGGTATCCGCGTCGAATCCATACGGCTCACATGACCGAGCCATCTCAGGTGTCTCAATAAAAGTATGCAGTCCACTGCATACATCCCACTTCGGCGCAACACTTCCGTGTCTGCAACTCTGGCGCCCCAGCCGATCCGCAAAATTCGTCGCAGACACTGCTGATGGAACCGCTCGAGATATCGCACATCCCGACGGTACATCGTCCACGTTTCACTGCCGTATAGAAGAACGGACAGTACCATGGATTTATAAACCATCAGCTTCGTGCCAATGCTCAGCTGATGGTTGTTCCACACTCGGTACTCTAGCTTCCCGAATGCCGCTGTCGCCTTCGACACGCGAGTACGCAACTCAACGTGTAGCTGCTGATCCGTCGACATCACACTCCCAAGGTAGCAAAAGCGGGAGGTGGTTTCCAATACTTCAGCACCAATGCTGATTTGCGGCAATATTGAAGATTGCACCTCCGGTGAAGGCTGAAAGAGACAGACAGTTTTGTTTGTGTTGATGGTGAGCCCGAATTTGGCCGCTGTCGAAGCCAGAGCACTAGTCATGTGCTGCAACTCATCCGCGTTGTGTGAAACAACGCACAGTCGTCAGCAAACAGCAACATACGGATAGTTGTCTCACAGACTAGAGTTCTCGCACCGAAACGACGGATGTTCAGCAACCCACCATCAATACGGTGCTCCACACGAACACCGTAAGCACAAGCCGCATCAAAAGCACAAGACAACATTGCATGAAGATAGATATTAAACAGAGTAGGAGCTAACACACAGCCTTGCTTCACACCAGAGACAACTGCAAAGTCATCAGAGGTCTCTCCACTCAGCTGCACCCTCGCTCGCATACCACTGTGCAGACATTCAATTAAACTTACAAACTTACGCGGGCAACCAAACTTACCCAACACCAGCCACAGTGCCTCGCGGTTCACCGTATCAAATGCCTTGGTGAAATCAACAAAAAGCGAGTACAAAGGCTGGTGTCATTCTCTGCACTTCTCTTGCAACTGACGAGCCGCAAACACCATTTCTATAGTGCTGCGCCCCGAACGGAATCTACATTGTTCTTCCGCCACGTTTGGTTCCACAATCTGACTCACGAGGCGATTGAGCAGGATTCGGGCAATCACCTTGCCCACACAACTCAGCAAGTTGATGCCACGATAATTCGTGCAACATTGCTTGCTACCCTTGCCCTTGTACAGTGGTAGCACAAGGGCATCCTTCAGCTCAGAAGACACTTCCTCCTCAATCCACACGCGTTGCACCAAGTGGTGCAGCGCAGTCAACAACGCGGGTCCACCGTGTTTCAATACTTCAGGTGGGATCCCGTCACCTCCGGCACATTTGCCGTTTCGCAGCTGAGCAAGTGCTCTCTGCGTCTCATCCAGTCTCGGCGTATCCGCCAGATCCGCCTTCACATCGTGCTGCTTCAGGCCATTCAATGAAGGCCAGTCGATCTCTGAACGGTTGTTCAAGAGACAGTCAAAGTGTTTCCGCCAGACCTGCATTATCTCTGCAGTCTGGGTGCAGGTAGCGCCTGAACTACCATCGATCAGTGTCCTCAGCGGCTCCAATCTCGGTCCATACACCGCCTTCAAGGAGTCAAAGAATTCCTTGTGTTGACGGCGTTCGGCGTAGCATTCCATCTGCTTCGCCTTCTCCGTCCACCATGCATTTTTAATGCGACGGAGCTCTCGGGTCAGTCGCCGTCGAAGTTTGCGAAACTGACTCGTCTTCCCCAAGTCACTGGGGTCTGCAACATGTGCAGCAAATGCTGCATTCTTCTCTGACATCAATGCGTCAATCGTCACATTGTTGTCATCAAACCAATCAGGCCGCTTACAGTTTGCGCGCCCGATGGTCTCCTCGGCAGCAGCTGTCACCTGGTCGTGAATGTGGTGCCACAGGTCGCCCACTGTGGCTATACAGTCCACATCACCACACAGGCGTGCAGCCATCGCCTTCTCCAGCTCAGTACGTTTCGCCACAGTGCCGAGGGAGAGAATGTTAAATTTACACCGATTCACGGCGGGAGTGCAATACATAGATTTACGAAAATATATGTACAGTTTGGTCCGAACCAATTTGTGATCAGTGCCACACTCAGCTCCACGCAGTACACGTGTCATTCGCACTTCACGCATATCACGCTGACGTACGATGACATAGTCGAGCAGGTGAGCGTGACCACTCCCTGGGTGCGTCCAAGTTGCTATATCGCTCGCACTCAGTGCAAACCGAGTGTTCGTGATCGTCAGGCCGTGAGTGGCACACAGTGAGAGCAGCCTGTCAACGTTCGCATTCGCTGAACCAATGCCATGCGCACCGATAACATCTGTCCACGCTGATGCATCACGCCCAACGCGCGCGTTGAAATCACCCAGCAGAAATAGTCGGTCGCTCCTCGGCACAGACCGTATCACGGAGGATAGCTCAGTGTAGAACTGATCACGCGTGTCATCAGGATAACACATGGTCGGACCGTACGTGCTTATAAAAGTAGCAAACTTACCTCTTCCGAGTCGTAGGCGAATAGTCATCAGCCGCGCGCTGATGCCCGTTGGTTCACCAACCAGCTGGCCATTCAGGCGGTCGGATATTGCAAATCCGACCCCATGTTCACGTGGTGCTGAGACGGCGTTCCCCACCCAGTAGAATGTGTAGCCAGCACCTGCTTCATGTAACTTACCTTACTCAGCGAGCCGAGTTTCACTGAGCGCCGCAATATCGATGTGGTAGCGCGCCAGCTCCATTGCGACCAGTGCAGTGCGTCGCTCCGTGCGCTCGCTCGAGTTCCGGTCCAGTAGTGTGCGCACGTTCCAGCACCCGATGCTGAGTGCTTTGCGTGCAGGCATACGATTGCATTGGTGAGCAATCGCACGCGAGGTGGTCGTTGTGCTTCGGAGGTTTGCTTGAGGGACTCCACCCGGAGCCTTTGGCTCAATAGCCTGACCCACAAGGCAGTGGGTGGTTTGGAGGTTTGCTTGAGGGACTCCACCCGGAGCCTTTGGCTCAATAGCCTGACCCACAAGGCAGTGGGTGGTTTGGAGGTTTGCTTGAGGGACTGCGCCCGGAGCCTTTGGCTCAATAGCCTGACCCACAAGGCAGTGGAGAGCAGATCCAGCTCGGGAATGTGATTGCAGAGACAGATGGGGATCTGCTTGACGGCAGTCACACGCAGCCTTTGAGGTTCTGGAACAGTTATCATATGTTTTGCGACCGTAGTAGGGTACGCACCTGCGACCACGGCCAGACGCAGGTGGGTTTTTGGCGGGTTTGCACCAATTTGACCAGGGGCTGCCTGGCTTGAGGCGGGCAGTAGCAAACCATTGAACACCCGGAGGTGTCCTCCCACCGTCAGAGACAATGCGTGGCACTCGTGCTCTACGCCAGTCGAGCATTGAGAATATCACCCGTAACCTGTTGTCTCCCATGGCTAGGTTTTACGGGAAGAGGGCCATCGACCACTTCCTAACCTCCGGAGAGGATGGACTAGGATACTGCCAGGGCGCCCAATCCTGAGAGGAGAACGACTCGGGTCCTCAGCCAAAGCCTTCGATTAAATGAACACCCGAAAGGCAGCGGGTCTAGCACATGGTCAGTTAGCTGACTCATGCGGATTGGTGTCCTGGATCTTAGCAGGCAAAAGGGCGAAACCCAACTCCCACCCAGCGGTCGCCACATTGAGGCGCCCAGGACATGAGACTATGTCGCAGCAGTAGCAGCAGTGGGCAGACCATCTGTCAGGATCTAGCCACCACCAGCCTCAGCGCACCATAGGCTCTCCCGCCATATATATATAAATATATATACATTAACATATATATATATGGGTCCCATGCTGAAGCTGCTGTTGCATTCTTGATGCCTCTTCACCGCAGTTGCGCTAAACCCACTAACACTTAAACTAGTCCTTTTTAAAGTTGGACAAATTTCAATCCATTTATTTGGTTTTATCGCCTACCTGAATTATCTTCCATTAACTGGCCACGTTACTTACGCTATTTGAGCATATCTTCGGTAACTTCGTTGATTTTGTAGCATTTTTATTAACTTGTGGACAGTTCTTTCTTATCGTGGTCTCGTTGCTAACTAATATAATTCATATGTTAATTTGGCGGAGAATACTGCTGCCTTGTCTGTATGCATTATTGCATTTATTTTATTTCAGCTTGTCCTTTCAAGTGAATGGCTGGTGCTTTATATCCCCGGTGTGGCTGCGCTTGATGTGCATGTTGACAAGGTGCCTACCTGTTTATTACCAACTACCTCGTTCATACTGGCTCCAAGAGGCAGTTGGTCGTTGCTTGATGTGACGTGGTGCACCGTCCTTGTGGCCGTGCTAGACTCGAAGAGCGGTTTATGCACTCAGTGTGGAGCGGACTACGGTCCAGCCACCGCCTTGTGTGCGCTTGATTCCCCAAATACAGGGTGCTTGTGTTTGCATTTGAATGGGTGTGGGCCGGCTCCGTCGATGAAACGTGGCTCCCATCCACATGCCTCCCGGTCTTATTCCTTCGGGTTTACACTGGATATGGGGTATGTGGTTGGAGCTGTGGGTGGTGCAGCGCAATCCACCCCTGGTCCCTCTTTAGGCGCAGGCGTCCTGTGGCTGGCCACAGTGACATGCAAATCCGGAACCGGATGCCGCCAAACATATATATATATATATATACATTCTATTTGAATTTGCCTTCACCACGCATTGTTTTCCACTGTGACATCGTTTCCGGTCGTCTCCTAGGAGCAGTGATATCGCTGGACGGTTAAGCCAGGTTGTATACGCTCTATGTGGCTGTGTTAAAACTTGCGCTGTCGTATTCAAACGTTTTGGAGGCAAAGTTTCCTCGATACAGGCACTGGGTTTCCAACTGCCGGGTTGTTTACAGGATGTTGCCACCTCACACAACTAAGTTCTTTCCAACGTAAGTGGTGAATACATGCAGATCGTTTCATGTCAACCGGACGAATAGATCAGGTCTTACATCCACACATCAGGACCGCACAGACGAAGGTTCCGTACATTAGCGCTAGAGCTTAAGACAGCTATTACGATGACGCCCTAGATGTCGCTGTTTATAGAATGCAAGGCGAGCACTTGTGATCAGTTGTGCGACCTCTCTATTATCACCACTAGTCGTGATGCAACTTCCTA